AATATCCAGTCCAGGATGCACCTTTTTGCTGACGATAGTGTGATTTACAGAGAAATTCACACTAAGAATGACACCTCCATCCTTCAGCAAGACCTTCAAACCTTGTCTGACTGGTCAGCGAAATGGTTCATGGCTTTCAATGTCAAAAAGTGCGCCTCCCTTACCATCACGAGGAAAAGAACACCAATACAGCATGACTACCAGATTTCCAACGAGATAATACCCAGGATAGACGAGTACAAGTATCTCGGGGTAACTGTAACCAAGAACCTTCGATGGAATACACACTGCCAACTCTTACTGAACAAGGCCAACAAAACCCTTGGGTTGCTGCGGAGAACCCTGTCACCATGCACCAAGGATGTGAAGTCAAGAGCGTAAACAGCCCTGGTTCGACCGCAGCTAGAGTATGGCGCTGAAGCCTGGAACCCTTTACACCTTCTGGTGCTGCCGAAGGTCTGGAAATGGTACAGAAAACAGCTGCTCGTTTTGTCTTCCGCGACTACCGAAGATCCACGTCAGCTACAGGACTTGTTTCCCAGCTGAGATGGGATAAACTGCACACACGTCGTCTTCTAGCAAAAAGCACCACGCTCTTTAAAATACACCACCAGCTAGTCAATATTTGTCTTCCTCACCTCATAACCAAAGCTACATACGTCAGCAGAAGAGACCACTCAAGCTCTCTGTTCCTGAGGCAACAATAGACTCTTGTATACCTTATTTGTGACACTGGTAGGTCTCGAATTGGTGTGGGGTCCAGGGGGCGGAGCCCTCAGATGCTCAGAGGTTTATACATCAATAATTTAACACCAGATGAGCATAATTCTATACCTTATTTGTAACACTGGCAGGTCAAGAATTGGGGTGGGGTCCAGTAGGCGGAGACCCCGGAGGCTCAGAGGTGTTAGGCAATAGATTACGGTCAGATGAACATCCAGAGGCCCGCCTTGTGGCCATTGGTTGGGTTCGGGGGGCAGAGCCCCGGAAGCTCAGGGCTTTAGGAATTTAATTACGTCAGATGAGCATAATTATACCTTATTTGTGACCCTGGTAGGTAACTAATTAGTGTGGGGTCCAGGGGGCGGAGCCCCCAGAAGCTCAGGGGTTTTAGGATTTTTATAACGGTCATACAAGCATGCAGGGGCAGCCTTAGGGCCCCTGTTTGGGTCGAGGGGGTGGAGCCCCAGAAACTTAGGGGTTTTAAGCATTTAATTACGGTCAGATAAACATATTTTGATACCTTATTTGTAACACTGGCAGGTTACTAATTGGCGTGAGGTCCAGGGGGCCGAGACCCCAGAAGCTCAGGGGTTTTAAGCATTAAATTACCTACAGATTAGCATCCAGCCATCCGCCTTAGGGCACTAGGTGGGGTCCAGGGGGCAGAGCCAGCGGAAGTCAAGGGGTTTTAGGCATTTAATTACGGTCAGATGAGCATATTTTGATACCTTTGATATCTTTTATTTCTATTTAATCTATTCTATTTTTTTCTTCTCCCCCCTTTCCCCCTTTTTTTTAGCCAGGGGGGGGGGAGGCCCTGGCCCTCCGCCCCCACCCCCCCCCCTTGATCCGCCACTGCACCACGCAACCTGAATTTAGAAACCTGGCGTGGAGTACCAATGACCAGAAGTTCCGTTTTGTTATCATTTAACATCAACTTGTTTTGCAACATCCAAATTACAATATAAACAACACAGTCATCTTTCTAATTCAGAAATACAATGATCTTTAGCCGGTGTGTTGCAGAAAGAAAAGTATAGTTGTGTGTCGTCTGCGTAGCAGTGACAATTAATACCGTATGTAATTCCGTATGTATGGATATTTGTAAGGGGTCTGCTTGTATATAATTTTAAAAACAGAGGGCCTAAACGCGACCCTTGAGGGACACCAAAAGTAGACATGAATGATCTATCATGTCAAAAGCACTGCTCATAATAGGAGAAGCAGTAGACTTATCTTCTGGTTGTCCATTGACATAATTGCTCTTTGCACATCTGATGAGTGTCCCTTTTCACCTCTAATACTGCCCCTTTTATTTTGAAACGTACCCCTTTTTCTTTCTAATAAATGCTCTTTTTCCTGATTACAAGAGCCACTTCCTCCATTTCATAAAAGCCCACTTTCACCTCCGATATATGCCCCTATTAACTTCCTATTCCTTTTTTATAAGTTCCCTTTTTCATTCTCATAAGTGCTCTTTTCTTATATTTGGTTATATATCTCTCATCATTAAACGCACCCTTAATTTCAAGCGACTAAGAGCAATCTCCCCCAAAGCTCGCCCGCTGCGCTCGCTTGCATTTATATATACATGATATAATTATGTTACTTATTAAAGGTCTTTTCAGTCTTCCGTTATGAGAATGTGCTTATAATTCCATCAGGATTGGGGTTTTCCCTCTTTAGAAGATGTAATTATTCGCACTGCGACCTCACAAGTCTTAAATTGTCCTCACTCGCTTGGCTCACTCGCATTTTCAAACCATCACACCCAATTGCAAAGTATGATGCTCAAGCGATATCTTGTATGGTGTATAAAGAGATTCAAATATCATCCTTCATAATGTAATCCTTATTACATATTTAGTTTAACCGTAATTTTAATTTCATTTGCTTTTAAAGCGCTAAGAAACTGTATTTGTATACCAGCGCTATATAAATCTTGGATATTAATATTTTACAGGGGTATATCCCAATTTCTAAAACATTGTTTATTTTCGTTTTGATTTCCCTTTGTAGGTGCCTTTTTTTTCTCCAGAAAGTGCCCGTTTTTGTTGGTGCCTCCCCCTCCCCACTTTGGAGGTCACTCCGCCGCCAGTGTCATGCAGCGGCAGCCTCCGAATTTCTCAGTCGTCTTTAGAGGTCACTCCCCCGCCAGTGTCATGCAGCGGCAGCCTCCGAATTTCTCGGTCGTATCGATAAGAACATGTGAAAAACTTCAGCTGTAGGCCTGTGTCTAGTGTTGTATTTTTATTGCATGTTTAAAGAAAATGAAAACAAATAGCAATACTTGATAGAGCCGCACGCAATTAGATAAGCTTTATTTGTAGATGGTGTACAATGTTTTTGAATAAGCTATTGATACTCAATTCATGTGCTTATCTGAATTTACTATGACAGGCTGAAAACTTCTTGTCTTATTGAATTATCTTACAAAGTTAAACAAAACAAATCTGCTTTGATAATGTGTGAATTTTGCCTGCATAATTTATTGTTACCCGAAAAGCAAATGATATCAATGATTGAAGCTTTACAACAACAACAAAAAAATATATATATATGAGGAAAGTCTTTAAACAGGATTTGATTCAATAATTCAGTAGGAGGAAGCTACTGATGATGTTATTATAACACGGAGAATGTCATCAATTCTTCTTCTAATAATGAGCATTTTACGGAGTTGAAATCGACATGAACTATTTTGTTACTCAAATGCACAAACTAATATTACAAAATAAACAATTTTTTAAATTTTTTAATGTAAGCCTATATCGATTTCAAACTGTATTAACATGCAAATTGGTTTTCGGCACCCACGCTTTCTTTCAGCCCAAGCTTGGTTTAAACGATTTGTTACAAGACTTTTAGAAAACTTTATTGCTCCATCATCTGTGGAAACAAAGTGATGAATAAAGTGTAATTAGAGAGAGAATAAAGGTACTCTTTACCAGTTTCAAGGGCACAGTGGTTATCACTATTTTATAAGGTGCTACCAAATTTGGGTTAAATTTTTGTTGTTGATACACACTGAATGTCTAAAGAAAATGATAATGAATCATCATCATCATCATCATCATCATCATCGTCATCATCATCATTATTATTATTATTATTATTATTATTATTATTATTATTATTATTATTATTATTATTATTATTATTATTATTATTATTATTATTATATTATTATTATTATTATCGTTATCATTATAATCATTATTATTATCATTATTACTTCTCCAAGGCCCCTGAGTAATTAATCGAAGGATGTGACTTCTCAAAAGCCTTCCTCCTCCTCCTCATTGATGTAAGGGTTTAACTATTCATTGATTAGCTCAGTCATTGGTCGAAGGATGTGACCTCTCCCAGCCCCCACCCCCTCCCCCTCCCCTCCTCCTCCTCCGTCCCTCCTCCTCATGGATATAAGGGTTAAACTATTCATTGATTAGCTCAGTCATTGGTCGAAGTATGTGACCTCTCCCGAACCCCCCCCCCCCTCCCCTCCCCCCTCCTCCTCCTCCTCCTCCTCCTCCTCCTCATGGATGTGAGGGTTTAACTATTCATTGATTAGTTCAGTCATTGGTCGGAGGATGTGACCTCCCCTCCCCTCCCTCCTCCTCCTCCTCCTCCTCCTCATGTATGTGAGGGTTTAACTATTCATTGATTAGTTCAGTCATTGGTCGAAGGCTGTGACATCTCCTAGGCCCCTCCTCCCCTTCCTTCTCCTCCTCCTCCTTCTCCTCCTCCTTATGGATATAAGGGTTTAACTATTCATTGATTATTTCCGTCATTGGTCGAAGGATGTGACCTCTCCCAGCCCTCCCCCCCCCCCTCCCCTCCTCCTCCTCCTCCTCCTCCTCCTCCTCATGGATGTGAGGGTTAACTATTCATTGATTAGTTCAGTCATTGGTCGGAGGATGTGACCTCTCCCAGGCCCCTCCCCCTCCTCCTCCTTCTCCTCCTCCCCACGTATGTGATGACTATTCATTGATTAGTTCAGTCATTGGTCGAAGGATGAGACTTCTCCTAGGCCCCTCCTCCTCCTCCTTCTCCTCCTCCTCCTCATGGATGTAAGGGTTCACTGACCCTTATACGTACATTTCACAGACAAAACAATGGGACAATGTAGAAATAAAAACACGTATCAAGAGACATGCGTCATCCCAATTTTAATATCATAATAGTTCTACTATCAGATCAAAAATCTATTTTAAAATTCATCTTATTTGTTTTCTCGATATTGAATCATCTGGTGGGTTCCCAACATTTGAAATGAACTTGATGGGACCCTTTATTAATGGGATGAAAGGAAGAGTCATCATCATTCTCATCATCGCTTGGCTGTTTGGAAGGAAGGTAAGTCCTAGACGACGCTTTTCTTCTTACTTTGTCATTCTTCGATTGAATAATGTTCAGTGAATTAGATCACTTTAGACAATTAGAGCAGCTTTAAAGTGTGCATCATAAGAAAAATATCGTCAGCTTTGGTAGCTCCTCACGAAAGAGTGTCTTGTGTTAATACCTAAGTAGGGTTTTCATGATAAAGAATAATTATCTTCTATATCGAAATCCGCTTCTACAACGTTTGGGCTGAAGGAAGCGTAATGTGTGTCAAAAGCCAATTATGTTTGTTTTATTTTTTCTGACAACAATAACCTAGCTTTTATTTGTTTTAAAATCTGTTTTGTGCATTAGATAAGCAATCTTGTTCATGTTACCCCAAGCTCAAATATTTCTCAATAAAATTATTGACGTAATCCTGGCTTCCTCCTCATTCTGTGTACATTGATTCAGTTTCAATGGATGTAGCTCATTTTGGACGCTCTATGTCAGAACAATGTCGTAGGATAAACGATTTGCAGGCTTATCAAAGAAGAATTAAGACTAACATATTACTTAAATTTGGTTTGGATGGGGTGTGACGCTCAAGCCTCGAAACCCCTACCCATTTTGGCAGAAAATGGTACCCATTTTAGAGATTTTTCTCGAAATATAGGCCCATTTTTAAAAAATTTGACTGTTCGCAATGCAAAAACCCGAAATTTTTGAAATTTTAGAAAACGGACCAATATTTTTGTTTAAAAATGGGACCCATTAGAGCCACACATCCCCGTATATGAGTACCCGGGCTTGAATCAAGGCCCTGTGAAAGCTGAGATACAAATTATTATTATGAAAGCACGAATCATAATTGAATTTTTAAAAGGGATATTAGCCACATTCGTTTCATCAGACCAAATTTGTTTTGAAAGTTTTACAACCTTTTTGTTCATCCGTGCATGCTGCAGAAATATGTACATGTATCATTGGAGAGAATACGAGTTACACTTTAGTATACAAATAATACGTTTTTTGCGAGTGCATTGGTAAATATGCAATGCACGCAGGTTAGGTATAAAAGTTTGATAATGAGTGAGACTTGTCGAGTTCATTGTCCGTCTCATTGTGACTTACCAAATGCAATGCATATCACTAATGCACGAGCTAAAAACATGTATTATTTGTTTTACAAGATGGGTCTACAATATATAAAGTCGAGAAATTGACGGTTGTTATCACCAACATTTTTTTTTTTTTTTTTTTTTGGGGGGGGGGGGGGGCTACTCGGCACTTCTGTCGAGACACCCCTGTCTCTTTACAGATAAATACCATCATTTCTTTTTCAAAACTATACACTCTTCAAAACATGTGTGATGGGCGTGAAGGCTTAGGGTGCTAGAGGGTGTGTCTCAGAGAGAAAAAAACATTCGGACTACCGTCACTGGCAGTGCGGTGGCCTCTTTTTAGTTTGGATTCTTATTTAGTAGAACAAGGACGATAGCTATATGAAAAAGACATGGATAGAAAATCCACCAACAGTGGATGTGTAGAAACTAAATGTTGATATAATTATTTGCGACGTAAACCCCTTTCTCCTATAGAGTGCCCGCGATATGCTTATGCTCACAAACGTTTCAAACCTCGATTAAACAAAATACTAATTCTCCTCTTTATTCCTCCAAACGCTTCATCACAAATTGGTTCCTGTAGACGGAATGATAATATACCAAAGGCTCGCCCCCTCCAAAAAAGAAGATAATAATAACAAGAATGATAAAATATGATTTATCAAAAACGTTCTTGTTGATACAAAAACACCGTGGAAAACCTTTAGATATAACAGAGAACATCTAACAGATATATAGTCCATAATGATGATTATAGACGATTCAACAGTTTGACAATTAAATATCCGTCCCCATGCAGCCGCCCTTGATCCGCCACTTCCGTTGGCTTGTTCATTCCTTGTCATTAATTAATTATAGACTGACCATACAAGATGAAATTCCTATTGCTGCTTACCCTGGCCGTGGCCGCTTACGCTGCCCAAGCCCCGTTCTACGACGCTGGTGAAAACGGCGTAAAGGGACGTTACATCGTCGTTCTGCAGGTAACAATATTATCTACATTCTTCACAATTTTGATGTCATGTTTTCAAGCGGTTATGTGGTGCGTTAAATTTCAAAAGATGCAGTAGAAAAAAAAGAAGCTACTTTCAATAAGTCAGTTGAATTTAGAGTTAAATATTTTATCTCAAAGTTTAACTCTCAAACACATTATTACAGAGTAAGTAAAAAGGGAGCCCAAATATGCGTAAGCGATGGGAATACAAATTCGTTAGACACAGTTGCAGAACATTACTGTCATACGCCTATATAAGGAACCTCAAAGTAAACGACAAAGTAAAAGTTTCCAAAGGATTCCAACATAATAGATGGCACAAATGTTGCTATGTTATGGCAGCTCATATTTAATTGCTAGCTTTTATTGCTCATGATAATTGTCTTTCCCTTCCCATCGTGCATTGACTCTTGAGCAAGCTTTTCGAGTAACGTAATTCTTCCTCTCACTGAAAAATGAATATTTGTATTATTACTATTAAGTTAGGCTGCACCTGAATAAATAGCATTTCTTTATCTGTGAATGGTGAAAACGTTTTTTTTTTTTGTGTGTGTGTGTGAACCTGTAGACAATAATTTACTTTACTCAATTTCTTTAACGATAGCGTTTGACATATTTCTGATCAATGTTTGTGCAAATATTTGTATGGATAACACTTATTTATCCTTTTTATTCATGAAAATTCCATTAATTTCACAGGATGGTGTAGATATCGACGCAACTTTAGAGCGTTTAATGAACCGTGTAGCTACATCTGGTCTCTTCGCTTCTATCAAATCGAAAATATCTCTCATCAATGCTTTCGTATCCGTTGTTCCCGAAGGAGGCCTTGATATCGTAAGAATTACCTTTTTTTATTTTTATTTTTAAATATTTTTTTTACTACTTCTCTTCTTCATCATCTTCGTCATTATGTCTCTATCTATTTCTTTCCCCGCCTCTACCTCCTCCTTTCCTTTTTACCTTCTTCTTATTTTCCCCTTTCTTCTACTATTTTTTGTATGGTTCTCTCCTCTTTCTTTTGTTCTTATTCCCCTCCTTGTTCTTCTCCTCCTCCCCTCCTCCTCCTCCTCCTCCTCCTCTTAATCCTAATCCTTCTTCCTGCTGTTGTTCCTCTTTTTTTTCATTTACTTCTTATCCTTCCTTCTCTTTTAATTAAGATAATCACAGCGTTAATATTTTAGCTAGTTTCCATAGTTAGTAGTATGTGTGCTTATGTTGCATCGATTGCACTTTAAAGGTACTATGTCCCTTTTGCAGCCAACCTCAAATTATGTAGAACTTTGCAAGAATTATGAATATGTCATGTTTGTCCTATCTGTGAAATTTAAACATTAGCAGTGTCCTCATATTCAAATTATGCAAGGAAACCCGTTTACTTGCTAGACTTCACTGTCAGACACTATTGAGTGACTGACTGGCTTGTTTCTTCTTTGGTAATAACATACATGAAAAGAGTTGTAAAGGGTACATGAGCATTTGTCTACATCAATAACCCACTTCTTGTGATGGCCAAGCTTAAACTGATTGAATCTTTGCGCAGCATAAAACGTATGACCATTCGGTACAATTGTCTGAAAATCAAGACTATTACTTTTGGGCTCTATAGCCCTAAAGTCGATTTGACAACTAATAGTCGTTATTAGAAGACATTTTCAAGCCCCACCTTTTTAGGGAAGTTATAAATTAGTATTATATTTCAAATGCAGTTGGAATTTAACTTTTTCATTTTTTGGGCCTGCAAAGGGGACATAGTACCTTTAACATGTTTTTTGTTGCCAAATGCCAAAATGTAATATTCTTGTTCATCTGACTGGATGATACATCTTGTTCATTTAATGAAGAGGAACATCAGAATCAAGTACAGTCAAACCTGTCTTGGTGACCACCTCTCTATTAAGGACATCTCTCTATATAATGGCCATGCTCGAGAAAGAAAGGTGCGTTGCAGAAACTGTCTAGTAAGACCACCTTGTCTACAGTGGCCACTATTTCTGTCTCCTTTGGGTGGCCTTAATAGACAGGATTGACTGTACATGATTTTGAGGAACAATATTATGGTCACCTTTCAGTTGCGTTCCCTGCCTGGTGTTGCCTATGTAGAGGAAGATGAGATCATCACAGCTGACGCTGCAGTTGCCGATTCCGAATGGGGTCTTGATCGCATCGACCAGAGAGATCTCCCTCTCGACGGGAGAATGGACGTCAAAAGTTAGTCAAATATATATATAATATGTATTCTTCATCTTCTTCTGCTTCTTCTTTTCCTTCTTCTTCTTCTTCTTCTTCTTCTTCTTCTTCTTTTTTCCTTCTTCTTCTTCTTCTTCTTCTTCTTCTTCTTCTTCTTCTTCTTCTTCTTCTTCTTCTTCTCATGAGACAAGTTTTCAATCATATTGCTATTCTTCATTGTTTTGCAAAAATAAATTAACACATTAAACTCAAGTAATACTTTACTCTAGTCATATAAGTCATGATGATGATTCTTGTTCTTCTTCTTCCTCCGCCCTCCACCAAATGCAGTTTATTTGAATAAAAATCATATTCATAAATGAGTATGTAAAAAAATGTAAATACCATATTAAGGGATAGTTGAGTTCTGTTTTCAGATCGAAATTGCCTTCAAAGTGCATGGTTATTGCTCTTATTCTTATCTTTCACATTTCTAGTGCCCTTTGAGGACCTTTAAAAGTTATTTTAGACCCCAAAATGTGTGAAATTTAACCAATACGATCATACCAATTCAGCTCCACTTTTAAAAAAAATACGGTGACCGTTAATTAATTAATCAATTAATAATAACAATACATGGGCCGGCTGGTTGGGCTTAATATAACCAACACGAAAAAGCCAACATAAAACCAACATCGGCAGTGGCTGAAATACAGCGTAAAAGGCGCTATTTCATTTTATTAACGGTTTTTTTTCTTCAAACTTGTAGTGGTACACAAAATTTAGAAATCGTTATATCTATGGATATTTCAGCCGTCTCTGAACCGAATTTGATAAATTTTGTGTAGCGCCCTCTGCAACAGAACTCAACTATCCCTTTAAATGTTATCACTCTTTGTTATATTCTGCATGGTAATGAAGATAGTAATATTCATTATGTGTATAATCCATTGTTACGTATATTGATATCTTTCATTTTGCTTCATTCATTCATTTTTGTTTTTAGCTTGCGTATATGATTTTCTTATATTTACGTCCCATGAATATTTTATCATGATAACTGACTATTTCAGGGACAATTTTAATTTGACTAAAGATATTAACCTTGTTTGCAGGTGAAGGTGATGGAGCTCATGTTTACGTAGTCGACTCTGGTATCTATACAGACCATGATGACTTTGGTAGCCGTGCTAGTGTTGCTGCAGACTTCATAGGTGGAGATGTTAGTAGACGACGGTCATTTTATTTCGTTCATTTCTTTCTTTTTACTGTTTTGCTGTTGGCCTATCTATTCCTTTTTAATCTTACCTAATGCTGTTCACAGTATTTGTTTTAATTGTATAGGAATAGAAGGAGTAGACATAGTAGTAGTATTCGTCGTCATCGTCGTAGTGGCAGTAGTAGTCTTATGTAGTCAGGTCCATAGTCAGGGCTCGAGCTGTTTTGCACAAAAAGTAATGAGGATTACAAAACATGTGAGAGGAGATTTTGAGAAAGTGTAACTTTTTAATGTAATTCCAGAATCATTAGAAATTTACAAAATATTAGAAAATAGTCTAGATTGGCAATCGATCGTAAGTCTATATAATTCTACGATAAAAAGTGACAAATTTAATCCTTGTTTAAAGTGTCCTTCAGTGATATAATTATATCAGAACTAATAAGGAAGCAATGAATATTACACTGTCGCTCATAAAGTTGGAATATTTTTGTTTTACCCCAATTTATGGAATTATTTTAAAAATTATTAAAAAATAATAGATCTAGATAATACGCCCCTCTCTCTCTCTCTCTCTCTCTCTCTCTACTTTCCTCTCACTTTCGTTTAAATATTTTCTCATCTCTTTGCTCCTGTCGGTAGGGGTGTTCTGTTTTTTTTTAAATTTTGTTATATATTCTAATATAATAGTATTTCCTAACTCATGGGTGTAAGATTATTAATGACAAATTTATAGAAAATATAAATTATTTTGGCACAGATTGTATATCTTGCAATATGTACTTGCTTCCCCTAACCTTTTGGGCGTATTTTGTTGAACATGTATTTTTTCCTTCAAATTATAGTACCTGTAGTATAGATATAATGCTTGAGATAATTGAGATAAAGATACCACCACCATTCTTCTATTCTATAGGGGCAAGATTGCAATGGACATGGAACCCACTGTGCCGGTACTGCTGTAGGTAATACATATGGTATTGCTAAACAGGCCTCCGTCTACGCACTCCGTACCCTCGATTGCAGTGGCTCTGGCTATAAATCTGACAGCATCGCAGGTAAAAAAAAAATCTTGCCAACAACTTCGGAAAGCTCTGGTTATTGGATCATTACTATTTCAACTGGTTACAACACAAATTAGTACTATTTATTTCCCATCACAATAATGGTTAACTTGTGGTTCGGATAAATTAAAGTTTGGTACTATCAGTGGACCTGATAGAATATGGGAAATCGAGAGTCTGAGATTACATCTAGCCAGAGGCGGCGCTCCCGAGGGGCAGAGGGGCACAGTGCCCCCCCCCCAATTTTTCTATACCCCTAAAGGACCCCTTTTTACATAAGAAAAGTGCCCCCTTAACTTTGTAAGAAGTGCCCCTTTTTACATAGGAAAAGTGCCAATTTTACTTTGACAAGTGCCCCTTCCCTTTTCCATCTCTAATAAGTGCCCCTTCCCCTTTCCACCTCTAATAAGTGCCCCTTTTATTTTGACATGTACCCATTTTCCTTTGACAAGTTCACATTTTCCTTTGCAATAAGTGTCCATTTTCCATTCTCATAAGTGCCTTTTTTAATCTCTAGTAAATTCCCCTTTTCAGGTACAAGAAGCGCCCATTTTCACTTTTGATAAGAGCCCCCTTCACCTCTGATAATTGCCCTATTTAAATCTAAGAGGTTCCCCTTTTGCTTTGACAAGTTCCCCTTTGACTTTGTAAAAGTTCCCCTTTCCCTTTTGATAACTACCCCTTTTTAACTCGGATAAGCGCACCTTATATTTTCACATGTGCCCCCTTTCCTTTTTAATAAGTACCCCCTTTACCTTATGATAAGTGCCCTCATTAAAAAAAAAAACCTTTCCCTTCTCATAAATGCCCCTTTTCATCTATGAAAATAGTTCCTTTTCATTCTCATAAGTGCCCCTTTTCATCTCTTGTAAATGACCCTATTCAATTCTGAGAGATACTCGTTTTACTTTGACAAGTGCCCCTTCCCCTTCTGATAAGTGCCCCTTCCCCTTCTGATAAGTGCTATTTTCATCTTATATAAATGCCTTCTTTATTTTGACACGTCCCCCTTGTCCTTCATAACAAATGATCTTTTTCCTTCTTATAAGTGCCCCTTCCACTTCTTACATTTACCCTTTTTTATCTTTGATTAGTGCCCCGTTTATTTTAACATGTGCCTCTTTTTCTTTTTAATAAGAACCACTTCCCCCTTCTCATAAAAGCCCCCTTTCAACTCCGATTAATGCCCCTATTAAAACCATATCGTTCCCCCTTTTCTCTTTATCATTAGTGCCCCTTTTTTTTATTTTCATAAGTGCCCAATTTCACCTCTGATAATTAACCTTTTAGCCCTAAAAAGGCCGGGCTGTTTGAGTGTTGATACGGCCGGGGGGGGGGGGGGGGGGGGGGGGGGGGGGGATTATGACATGCCCTCTAAAATATTGGCCGTAAAACGGCCGATGCTGTAAAAAGAAAAACAAATATTGAAATCATCCCCGATAATGTAATCACAATATAGGGGTATATACCAATATCTATTTAAAAAATCTCCAGAAAGTGCCCTTTTGTGCCCCCCCCCCCCCCCCACTTTGGAAGTCGCTCCGCCGCCCTGCTTCCTGCCAAACATGTTGCTTTGTCTTCTTTTCCCCTTACTGTTATTGAAATTTGACACTCTTGCTACATTCTATCGTTGACCTGTTTACACCTTAAAGCTTTTTTAAAAAAAACAGTTATGCCCAACTGATTACTTGATTATCAATATGTGCAATTTACTGCTGCAATATAAGGAAAACGCTAAGTAAGATTTGTCAATGTTTCAAACCTCGATATAGTCGACTCTCATTTTTTCATGGATGTCAGTTTACTAAACATTTAATTGGTCCTCTGTAAACCATTTCATTAGATCAAGTGTCAAACCAGAAAAGACCAAGGTTAAGGACTTCAAGTACATCTCATCTAATCAAATCATTTTTATTTCTTTTGGTACAAACTAATTGGCGAGGACACTGCCCTCTAATACCAGAAGTCACCAACACTCCCATATGCAGGTGGTCAGCTGTATAACATACCATGTAATACCATGGCATTGCGCTGAGGGGCGGAAGCCCCCTCCAAATGCCCCCCCCCCCCCCCAACAAAAAAAACAAAAAAAAGAGTAAACTTTAGTGCTGAACAAGAAAATGGGGAAAATGAATTGGAAAGGGACAGAGGGAAGGGGGAATAAAAAAAACGGAAGGAAGGAAACAAAGACCAAAATAATTTCCCTTCCTGCATGTTCATGAATGGTCGTTTCTCATGTATACAAGAATCGCAAGTGGAAAAAAGAGTTGTTCACGTAGCCTATATAGGCCTATCATTTTCTAGGATTACGTGTGTCCTTGCTGAAAACTAACTCCGATTACCCTAAGAGCCAAACTCTTTTTAATGAAAAGCTTAAAATAAAGATGCAAGCATGAACAATTGTTTTTATACTGTCCTGATCAAAACTCTTCAGAATACGTCAGAGGTTATATTATCATGTGGTATGTAATTGATTTACATTATGTTTGTAATGTTCGCATATTCAAACGTTCGTCAAAAAGTACTAGATTTCTAGCACTGAGTAATGGTTTTATGACAGGACTTCTGACAGATACCCCATTGACACATGTTCGAAGTGTCAATAACCAACAGTTTTGCTGTCATTTAGGATGAGTCTGTTTTAAAGATTCCATCAACGAATATAATCAACACCTGCTTGAAGCTTCTATGGTCGAGATGATTTTATATTGAGCAAGTACATGCAGGCCTGAAAGAAAAAGAAATCCGTTTGTCATCTGCGTACAGTCGTTCCAGGGAATTCTTTTGGGTAATAGTACAGAGTAAATAACGGAGGTCCGAGCCGAGACCCTTAGCTTGCTGTACCCAAAGAGTATTGAAAGAGTATTGTAGACAGTATCGTCAATTTTGATATTTTGAATTCTATCTGCAAAATATCATTATTATTGTTATTATTATTGTAATAATTATAATAATAATAATTTGGTTATTATTATCATTATTACTGATTTTGTTATTTTTTTTATAACTGTAATTAATATTGTTATTATAAGTATTAGCATTATTATCATTATTACTATCAATATTATATTATTCATTGCCATGATCATTTTTATTATTATTGTTCTTATCATTATTTTCACTATTATTATTATTAGTAGTATTATCATTATCATTTATGGTATTGTTATTATCATTATTATTATCATTATTATCACTATTAATACTATATTATTATGGTTGTTGTTGTTGTTATAATTATCATGATTTTCATATAATTTATCTTATTTTGTCAGCCCTTGATTGGGTAAGCGCTAATGGGCAAAAGCCTGGTGTTGTTTCGATGTCCCTCGGTGGCTCCGTGTCGACTTCACAAAATACAGCTGTCAAGAATTGTCGAAATGCCGGCTATGTTGTAGTTGTCTCGGCTGGCAATGACGATGGTGATGCTTGCGACAAGTCACCCGCTTCTGCAGCAGAGGTAAATGACTTGATTATTCAGGGGTGGGGAATCCAATTCAGGTGTGACAGGGGGAGAGGGGTGAAACGGGGAGGGGGTGGGGGTGAGATAATGACATTGAATTTTCCTAGGTCATAATATGAGAATTTCGTCGCCCCTTTCTAGGCTCTCTCAGAATGGGGGGAGGGGGGGGAGATGTATTCCCGAATTCTTTCCCGCGAGTATTACAATGGGGGCGGGGGCATAGCCTCCTTTATATTCCTGAACGATAATAATGCAGGCATTTATAATGCGCAACATATCCACCCAAGGGTTGCTCAAGGTTTTCATGTTTTTTCCCACTATCTATATAGAGTAGGGGGCCTCAGATCTGCCCTTATTATCAATCTATTATATACCTCCTCCCTCTCTCATTCCCTCTTCCATCTCTCCTTATTTAGTACATTGTGATTCAGTATTATTCTCATATAGTTTTCGTTTGATATCAGAGGCGGAAGTGAGCTGATAGGAGAATAGAATGGAAAAAAGGCAGAACATAATGTCGTTTTTAAACAGAGCCCTGTTGTAAACCAGCCTATTTCAATGTTTTAACAATGTTCCGTAATGATTATGTAGCTGTACATGATACTCTGTACAAAGATGCGAAATGAATAAATATATATCTGCATTATTATCTTTATCATACCTGATATAAACATTTGTAATCCAAACAGTTGAATGATCCCACTGAGAAAACCAGAATATCAAATTCCCTTCCTAGTTTTTGTTTCTTTCTGTGTTACTTATTTAAAGAAGAATGAATACTAATTGAAAACCATAAACAAGTAGTGAGAAAGTATTATGACATAATCAAGAGCAGAGTACAATGGTTCTTGGTTCTAGGACACCTACCCCTGGACATCCACCCCACGGATAACCACCTCAGTCAACTAACCCCTAGGACAACTACCTCCAAGGGCAAACACCCTCTATGACGACTACCCCCGGGACAACTACCCCTGGAAAACTAACCCCCAGACAACTACTCCCCGGACAACTACCCCCAGACAACTGCCCCCTACGACAACCATCCTCTAGGACAACTACCCCCGGACAACTACCCTGGGGGTAGTTGTCCTAGGGGGTAGTTGTCCTATGGGGTAGTTGTCCTAGGGGGCAGTTGACCGGTGGTGGTTATCCGGGGTGGATGTCCAGGGGGTATGTGTCCGGATACGGGTTTTCTTCACTATATTATTTGGTGTAAAATATTTGACGTGCTTTATACAATAATATAATGTGGATCCACGCCTTTGTATGTCTTGTATTCTGTCTTTTTCATTATTCCAAAGGCTTTTGTATTTACAGTGTGCCAAATGGACCTTGGTATTAAAGGTTTACTTCTGCACGTTCATGTGTATGCGTTTGAATAATGATTATGACTTGTGTGCATGTAGGCTATCACCGTGGGTGCCACTACCAGTTCTGACCAAAGATCTTCCTTCTCGAACTACGGCACATGTGTTGATATCTTTGCTCCTGGTTCATCCATCAAAAGTTGCGGTATTAGCTCCAAAACTTCCACAAGCACAAAGAGCGGAACCAGCATGTCATGCCCTCATGTTGCAGGTAACGAAAAATTATGTAATATTCATAAACATTGTTTCATTGAGGCTACTCCGCGATAAAAAAGCAGAGAGTGGTATATTAGAAAATATGCAAATAATACACTACAGTGAGGGCATTAGTAAGAATTACCAACACGAGGTACCTTAGGACTGTTTCGTAGGTACCGAGTTCATGTGAGTAATTTTACTAATGCCCGAACAAAATGATTTGTATTATTGTTTTATAAGAGGATATTTTGATTGTTTTATAAAATAATGTTTTATAAAATGATTTTACTAACGACCGGTCATTAGTAAAATTAAGTGTTAGGCAAAATAAATGCTTGGTCACGTGTACGCTCTCAACCAATCATTTGATTTGGATCCGCTTCATCATCTTATAATATAGATAATTATATTGACTGCTATGTTTCGATAGGCCCCGGCACGCCTCGGGGTCATATCAGGATGTAACGTCCCCGAGAGCCAGTATATAAACATCAATGCTTCGAATATTAAAGCAGTCGATATATCTTTTATATACCGAATTCACACACAAAATCTGCAAAGAATTATTACCTTATCCTTACTTGAGTAAAGACTGGTTAAAACATCACAGAAAATCTGAGACGCTGTCTGTAAATCTTCGCTGGAAAGTTGCCTGAATGTTACAATCATTCGGGAATCGCACCCGCACTGCACTCTTTGTATCCGCGCTCACACAAAGAAACTTTTACACGTGCACCAATGGGGATCTCACCAAAATGTATTTATGCGGCCCGTTAACCGGGGCATGCGGGCATCTTTTAAACGACTATTGACCGGTAGGCGGGCATGGCTTAAATCACGACTCAAATTTCGACCAATCAGATGGCTAGATTTCTAAAGAGAGGTATACAGATATTGACTCTGGTTAGGTGCGTAATATGACATTCTCTCTCAGTCTCTCCCTTCCAACTGTCTTTTCAAAACATGGAGCTTGCAAAGCTTGCGGTCTTCGCTTACATTACACTATACTACTTTGAACCTCCACCTATGCAGCTAAAATGTACTACTCGCTTCATGGTAGCCTCACATGCTCTCCTTGGTATTACACTCATGAATTATTTACAATTGCATATTGTTTACTTGTATCATAATGATTCTATGGTGTTTTTCTTTAAATCATGTAAATACTTTTGTAAAAATTATTGGACAATTTAGCCCCCCCCCCCCCCCCCCCCCTCCCCCCTCCCCCCCCCCCCCCCCCCCTCTGGCTGCGATTCATATTTTTAAATTAATAAACCTTGAATATTATTGGATCACCAAAAGGAGTTATATTTTCCCAATGGATTTTTATATTTTCACGATGCGTGCAGTTCAAGAATTAAATTCTCGATATCAAAAAATATGTAATTGGTATCAAGCATTATATATTTTTTTATATCACGAAATAGGATTTAATGTTTAAACGGCTTGCCATATACGAACATGACCGAATCTGACCTGAGGAAAACGCAAGCTTTAAAACCCATAATATCGTTTTCATGTGCTTCTGTTAACATATGGTGTAAGAGTAATACCATCATGGTAACAATAAAGGAGAGAGGGCATTATGTTGATGGTGAGGGTACAAAACTGTTAATAAAACCCCTTGTCAATACTACGCCTTTGTATTTTACTACCAGCACTCTTGTAGCTATTTTCGCAGACATACTCTTCTAATTATGTTCAGGTAGGTCTTAGAATTGGGTGATTAATGAAAAAATTGTGAAATAGTTCTGACAATAAATGTAATTTCCTCATGCTACACTGTTATCTTCTCCCCAGGTATTGCTGCGGTAATGTCTGCTTCAGAGAGTGATTCTGAGAAAGTGTACGCTGCTATCATTAGTAACGCTTCCTCGGGCAAGGTTGGAGACGCTGAGACTGGCTCACCCAACCTCCTGGCTTACCTCGATTAAAAAGGAGTTCCAAGAAACGAGATCTTCTTTCAGCGAAAACCTATCAAACAAATATTTTGAATATAGTGAATTTAAACCTAAGCATTTATCCCAGTTGGTAGGGCTATATTGAAGCTCACACACACAGAAAGGATCAAGGTTATGGTATTTGGGGATTAATTTTGAACATCTTAATGCATCTTAGGGATAATCCCATAAATATTACTCCAATAAGCTGTATTAAAATGGGTGGACATTGTGGTCTGGTCCAGACAATTTGATTCCTTCTGTAGTTCAATGTTCTGCTTTGAGCATTTTCATTTTCGTTGATTTTTTTGCTGTTGCTTGATTAAATGAATAGAATCTCATCCGTAAACTGAAAGAAAATCCTTCATCCTCACTTGATATGTCATAACATAATTATCGATGATGGAAAATCCTGACAATTGAAAATGCTAGATTTGTATTTTTTCTTCTTCTCTATCTCTCTTTAACACAAAATCAAACTGTCGTGGGTTTTAGAGGTTGTTTTCAACCTATGATATTATATCACTCTGGTGCACTCCCTTTCATCAGCGATTAAAGTCGTGAGATTATAGAGGTGGAGATATTGTGGTCCAGTTGATAGGTCTCCAGACTGCCAACAACAAGGTACAGGGTTCAAATCCGTGTCGCAGCACTAATGTTCATTGGCAAGATATTAATCTTCATTGCCACACTTAACCTAGGCGAGGTAAATGGTATAAATCTTTTTTTTCAATCCACGGTCAATGGGTATAATTTTTTATTTCACTGGATAAGTACGTTCACTGTAATGGCTCTGATATCAAAGGTGAATTATGATGTAAAACAATTACCATTGCAGCATTCTATAATCAATAAAGAAAATACAATAGCAAGGAAAAACTGAACACTGTCACTGTTTCGTTGTGAGTTACCATGAATGTGAAGTGAGAGAAAGAGAGACGGAGAGAGAGAGAGAGAGAGAGAGAGAGAGAGAGAGAGAGAGAGAGAGAGAGAGAGAGAAAGGGGTGGGAGTGAAGGGGATGGAGAGGGAGAGAGGAGAAAGAGAGAAGACAGACATGATGGGGCGAGGAAAACGGCTCACCCAAACCAAGAGATGGGGCGAAAGAGAGGTCATTATCGATGTATTGATACAATGAATGTGGGGGTGAGGGTGGGGGGGGGGGGGGTGACTAAAGGTCTAAGAGAAGAATGGACGGGGGGGGGCGAAATGTTTCCATTCTTTAACTTTGTTGAATTGTAGGGGCAGTGTAAGGGTTAAAAATACAGAAATAATAACAAGAGAATGGTGCAATGAAATAGAGGGAGAGAGAGAGAGAGAGAGAGGGAGAGAGAGAGAGAGGGGGGGGGGGGGGGCGAATAGGAAGAATTGACATTGTATTCGGTGGTCTGTGGTTAAATCAAATGCAGGTTTGAACCCCCTTTTTATTTTGTTTTTTGCTTCTTTCTTTGCTTTTTATTCATCATTTCTCACGATTTTTTTAAAAACAGGTGAAGTGATGGCGCTACATCGGTAAGTATGCTGATTAACCTTGATGTCTTCGACACCCTTCTCTTGAGTGGTACCATTATCACACACAGGCCTACCTAATTTTTCTCCTTTTTATATATTTACATTCTTTAAAATTGAATCAAGATATTGTGTAAAAGTCTTTTGGGACAACGTACGGACATCTAACGCAGGAAGAAAAAACCCAGGTTTGATTGTCAAAACACATCACTAGTCTACCCATTTCCAAGACCAGTAACGAAGCGTGTCTAGTAAGATCTAGGCGCTGATGTCATGGGGGTGGGGATGGGAACACACTTACTTGATAGATGAAATGTGATGATCAAGGTCATTGAGTGAGGGGAAGAGTGTTGAAATACTTGTATCATTTCTTGTCACCATGCCTACCCTTACTCTCTTTTTTCTCTCTCTGATTTTCCCCCTTTCAATTGGAGAGGATGTACCTTTAGGCTTCAACTATCGCACTGTTAACGACCATCATCTAAGCAATATAGCCTCCTGACAAAAATGGCCTACATTTAATAAATTAAAAACAGAGGCAGTAAGACCAGAAACTATCTCAGAAAGGGTCTTTTGGGTATTGGTGAAATGTTCACCTGAACATTAGATCAGCATCAAAATCAAAGAAATCGTTATATCATATCATCATCATCATCATCAACATCCACAGTACATCAACATCAGGAAAATATACATCATCAAGAACAACAACATCAGCATCATCATCATCAACAAAATCACCAAGATCACGGTCATATCATTCAGATTCTAGGCATTACAAATAACAAGAAGAATTCAGGACATCACATGAACATTTTCTGTTTTTACTCATTCCCATATGTCATCATCATATGGATAAACAAAAAATAATATCAATACTCCCATAAGAAATAAAGGAAGAGACATCTGCGCAATACATTAATTCATTTCAAGTATGCAGAGGTCTTGCACAAACATTTTTTTTTCTTACACCCCCTTTTTAAAGAAATAGTTGTCTCAAAGCTTGGGAAAATTGCAATATTTAATCTCTATGATATTCTCTCGGTAGAATATACAGACAAAATGTACACTATATTTACAGATATAACAAGTTGTACAACTTGAACCAAGAAAAACAAAAATATTCATACTGATACAATTGCTAGAGATTTAGTCACTATAGTTTCAAAAGAGGAATTGCTTCTTGCTATCACAATCTACTTTAACTGTCGTAGCTTTACCATACCTGTACACAAGTGCAAAAATCTTTGAGTGAATACTTTGTTTTTTTGTAATATTCTTTATACAAGACATATTCCCATGTCACACACACACATAAATATGAACAGAAATTAACTGGGACCAGAGTAAGCAACATGCCCAATATAGCTTATTATTTAGCTGTGTTAAGCACCTCTCGTACTTGACTAGGTTACATGTGCTATACCTCTAGATACTAATGGAGTTTATTCATCTACTTTTGGATGAATCATTTAGTTTACCGTACAAAATGGTCAACAGGGATGATCACTGCTTAAATACATTGTGACCATTACATGATACTACATCACAGCTATTGTTATTTGTACTAAAGAGAAACAGAGAGTAAGTGGCTTCATAATTCTATTTTAAGAAAATTAAACGCAATCAGAAGAAAAAAAAGTTACCATCGTGTCAAAAGTGCCATGTACAAGTAGCACCCACGCCCCCTCCCCCCCCCCAGAAAAAAAAAAAATCATATCATAAAATGCTATTTGAACATGCTACAAAACATGTGGCTAAAGTTGGTTACAAGTCTACAGGAGGCCTTTCTTTAAAAAAATCCTTGCACAACAGATAGAAGTGAACTATTCAGCTTTTTTTTCTCATAGAGATAGTATTTAAAAACAGTCACAGCGTTTAGCATGGGTGAACTTCTTAAATACAATCCAAATCAGCTCAATAGAAATAAATGAGGTCTACAGCTTACTCATATGGCAAATTGACACAACAGAAATCATAAACATAAATTAAAGAAACCAGTCTTCTAAATAGTGAATCAATTTGTCAAAATGATGATGAGGATATGGATATCATATAAAAACTGTTAATTATTTTCTAGAAAAGCATTACATGTGGAGAACGTATGTGTGCTGTTACACCTGCTTAATTATTTTGGCAGCTCACCAGACGCCAGGTAAAAGAAAAATATGTGTTGCTCTTTGAAACCTTTCATGTTACTAAAATACTTTCTTATACATAAATCTTCTGCAAAATATCTCGCATAATCAGGACCAGAAGTTCAACATGTCAGTGGTAAATACAGAATATGTAATTTGAAAGCTGTTTGCATGCACATGAAAAAGCAAGGGCTACCTCTTAACATTCCTATAAACCAACTAAATGAAACAAATACATGAGAGAGAGAGAGAACACAAATGTATTTTCTTAGCTTCAGACTATTGTAAAGAATGATTGAAATGTGCCTCCACCTTTACTGTTATGAAGTTCACAGGGGAGGGGCGAGACAAGCAGTTTTTGTAAGAGAGAGAGAGAGGCAGAGAGAGGCAGAGAGAGGCAGAGAGAGAGAAAGAGAGAGAGAGAGAGAGATTGAGAGTCAGAAATCAACAATGTTACAGAAGCAGTGTATGCACGAGTCATACTCTTCTCATTATTTTCATGATTTTAGATCATTGAGTTTAGTATGCTGTTCAATTTCATGCTATTCATAAATACAACCAAGCATGGCAAATAAGAAAAGTTTGTTATTAGTTGCATCAAACTGAATATATATATGTACATATTCAGCTTATATATACATACACATTTACTGGTCAATCTAACAAATGCAACTAATATAACATAATGTAATATATGAATACATATTAATTCTCCCTGTTGGTTCAAATCCTGAACTTAAATCATTACAATCAACAGTAACAAATCTTGGGTTTCTTAAGCTGCATTACAGTGCAGAGGCAGTGACATTTTGTACCATTTCTACCTTGATTTCATCACTTTCATGAATCTATATGAAGGTAAAAATCCTGTGCAATAGTCTAATATCTATAGTAATGGAGAAAGGGAAAGCTTCTATTCAGATTCTTAATTACAACTAGATCCAGCTCTCTCTCTTTAAACCTTAAAATAGTTACAGGTTAACCTAATAGAAGTGGTAATCCAACTGGAAACCAATCAAGTAATACAATTATACAGTGATCAGATATGGAGCCCCAAAAAGTCTTTGCATTTGAAAAGAAAAAAAAAACACAACAGCAACCAAGTCAGATAATAATGTCTCTCAATGAGGAAGATCACCGTTATAGGACTGGTTAGCTCGTGAAAGGTGCAACATGTCTCGTCATTTCATTTGAAAATTTAAACAAAGACGACATGTCACTGAATCATTTGCACCTTATACATTTGCAATTCTTTTCCCCACAGCCAGATCGACTCCACAAAGAGTATCCACACCGATCAATTCTTGGCCATTTGAGGGGGGGGGGGGGGGTTTAATTTTGGTTGGGTCTGTTGTCAGGAGTTAGGTCTCATTTAATCAAAAGGGCCACTTCTTAGCCCAAGGTGTCAACACCATTATAATCATCATAAGTGTGTGTGATTGCCATAAAGAATTGTTTCCCTTCTCTACTCATTTATAGATTCAAGAGGGAAAGTGTAATGCACAGGCAATAGAGGGAGGTGAGATAAATACATGTAACTGAAGCTGCTTCTATTGTAACACATATCTTGGTAACCCTCATCTGACAAATACCTGTAAGTTAGTGGAAAATCATGCTATGCACAACAGTGCAAATTCATTAGGAAATGAACAAAAAACATAGTATTAACAATTACGCTTTAATTTCATATTTTGGTTGATAAAAACACATCTTGGTTCATGGCACTTAAAAATATTTCTAATCGCTCCAGCACTTTGGAGTACTGTAATACATCAATGTATACTTCTGAATTCTGTTACAATATCCAAACAGGGATTTACTGGCTTTATTAAAGGCAGGGTATTTTACAAACATTGCTGCCACTGCTGTAATGTATCTTCAATAACACCATCTTTTGGTAAAGGCGTACATACAGCGATTTCCGGTTCCTGTACCCAAGCATCACCACGCATGTAATCTGTGGGTGATGCATTGTGGGACATGGCTGTCACCACATCGGTACATTCTGAGCAGCAGATGGCAGTAAACGTAAATCTGACGTAGTGTCAGTAGAATACCCCATCGTTAAACCACTACAACTACACCAGTATATTTGATTACAAACCCTAGCATCTGTTATCGGTACACTAAAATAATCTGACCAAATTAAGGTGCTTTTAGAATTGAAGTGCTTTTTTAACTCGAATACAATCGTTACAACTTAGAAAACTGATACATCTTCACAATCAGGTGAAAACCTGTTATCACGACAAATGTTACTAATCATGTTTAAAAGATTTTTGTATAAATATACTGAAATCATACATGTTGCTTCTTTTTTTAACATATACAAAGTCATTCCCCCCCCCCCCCCCCCTCCCCCTTTAAGAATATGGGAGAGCAAAAGCTCTTTCACATTGCATACAACCAAAATTATTGTCACAACAAAATTAAATGTTCACTTTAACACAGACAAATTGAAAAGAGTTAATTTTAAATGATTGTAAAAAGTGAAGGTTATCCCCTCCAAGTGAAACCTTCACAGTGATCTAATTGTTAATAGCAAGGGTTCATAGTGAGTATCTGGCATTGGAGAAATGAGTACATATTTTGACGTGAAATCATACATCTACTTTGGCATGCTACTTCCCCCCGACAATAATAGATTGGTAGCTCTTTGATACAAACAACCTTTGAGCACCTACACTTTCTAGAACCAATCCTCTCTAACAGGTCCTCACCTGCCCAAAACCATCCATTGCCACACAAATAATCTCCCTTTGCCTCCACTGGGATAGATATATGGGGTAAGATAGCAGGGCCCGTCTTATAAAGAGTTGATATCAATCGCAACTATGTACGTAAGAGATAGGAGACTGCAAACTTGCCACTGATTGGAGGACTTACGGTTGATTTTGATCAATCGTTACTCTTTATAAGACAGGACCCAGGTATACCAACGGCTTCAATATCATTTTACTGTTAGATTAATCCGTACCCATGTTAAAAGGGTTGTCATGGAGCTAATCAAGATCACAATGGGTAATTTTGCACAGCCATTGTGTTCCACAGAGGGGTGAAGAAAGCAACCAAAGTGTGAATATGCTGCAGCACAAGATATACTTGTTAGATTGATTTTATATTGAAGATGGTGTGCTGCCTCGAAAACTTCTTCATATCTCAAAACTATAAAATATAGTATGCAATGTACTGTTTCAATGTGAGAGTAAATGGCACTGATGTGTCTTTCCAGGTGCTAATGGGTTTAAACAGAACACAGTCAGAACTGCATTAGGGATCATCTGCAAAGAAAGACCATGTTCCCATAAGAATCTTATCTCCCTGGAGTATTCATTGTGAAGAGATTTACCAGCAAAAGCTTAAATCGTCTTACTATATATTAATCCATGTAGATATTCAAGGATTATCTTAATACCATTTACAATTTAAAATTGAGTTAAATAAATAAAAACTTATATTCCAATTAGATTTGAGACAAATGTATGAACATAAACATAGGTCATATATCTAAAAGTTATTCCTCATTCATTTCATGTACAGCAGAATCATCTTTGGATGCTTCAATAACCCAATATTGTTTCTACTTTCTTGTAACATATCTGCTAATATTCCAGCACAGAAATTATACAAGTAGTATGTCAATGATAGACATTGTGAATCGGAAACAGAAGATTTATTTCAGAAAAAATATCAAGCATATCATTCCTGGAACAATTGCTTCAAAATCCTAGCCACAATAAACACAACCACTGACATGATGTGAAGAAAAGAGAGAATTTTATAAATCTGGAGAATAATTTAGTCTATCTGTACAAACAAACACAATGTAAACTCTAGATCGTCTATGGCTGATTAATCACAAAGTCAATCACAAAGTAATTAAACCCATTAATAAAGCTTAGGAATAATACAAACTATATTCGCTAGCCATTAAAATATGAATTAGATGAATCTTTGAGCATGGGTTTAGTGCCAATTTAGTTTGAGGTACAGACATTTTTGGCTTCTCCTCGTAATATTCTCTTTTCACTGCTGAGCTGTTGATAAGTGTACTGTACTCTTGTATTCAAATCATACCCATAAGCCACAGGGAGGGAGAAGCATGCAGAGTGTAACTTCTAGAAGAGCTTTTAGATGAAGGAATATAAAAGAAGTCTCCAATAGGAGTAAATATGTAACAGGTAAAACAGGAAACTTTTCATTTTGTTAAGTACATTATCCATTTAAAATACATGTTCCACATCAGTCTTTTAAGAGAACACATTGTTTTCTTCCTTAAAATAAAAAACCCACCGAGCTATTGCCGCTCATTATAGTAGACATCAGCTACGACAAACACACATAAAAGAGACATGAAACTATAGGGTAATCTAGTGATAAAGAGGCAAGGTGACAGAGATATTCATGCTAATCAACTGAGGAAACAGATGTATAGGAGAGAGAGAAAGTGAGCAGCTTCTTTTTTATGTAGACTGTGATATTTCCAACCTCTTTACCGGTATCCTCCCAACAGGATGCGTCTCACATTGGTATGACTTGCTTTCATCTCTGCTTTCATCTCTGCTTTCCTCCACTTGTCCTTCTTTACTACGGAGCCAGCCTCCCAGGCTAGCTCACTGTGAGTTCATTGACACTCGATTGGATAAGAAATAAATATAAAGATAACGAACAACATTCATGCACTTCCACTGAAACAGCAGCAAACTATCGGTTTTGGCCCAAACTTTGTGGTTTCGCCCGCCCGATGCAGCAACGGGGGAATCAAAGCTCCCTCCATCAGTCAGGTCTTCCATTCCCAGAGGGAAACACAGAGAAGAGAAGACCGACTCTCTGATGGCATTTCAGTGGCAAGTCCTCACAACAAATCTCCACTGCCATGTCTACATTCTACAAGTCAATAATGTCTAACTGCTGTTGGTTTGGTTATTTAGATGGTTCATTTCCAGTTTACTCAAGCGTTTCCACAGTTCATCTCTTTCCTTCTCCTTCTTCTTCTCTCTGAAAAGACACAAAATACAAACAAAATTACTCAAATAATCTATTTTTGTAAACAACATTAATTATCTCTCATCTCATCAATGGTTGAAATTGCAAACGTATATTGCGAAGACACTATCAACTTTCCTATGTCAAATAAAAACCAAATCAAGGTCCTGTGGATGTGTTGTGGTATAGTTTTCATTCACTTGAACTCAATCAAAGGGTTATGGGGTAGATTCCTAGCAAAGCACTATAAAGAGCTTTTGGCAGGACATTAATCCATGTTAGCCACTCTCCACTAGGTGTAAATGCTACCAATTTGGCAGCTTGAATCTTTTGCTGTATGGCACAAGATATTAAAAGGTGATCAACATGTCACTTTAATTTTCAAATAACCCTTTCATCGTTTATATTTATAAGTTCAAACTTTTGATTTTACAATTGTTATTATTTTTATTATATCTGCATGAAAGCAAATCTGATGTGACTCAAAACTGACAAAAAACATTAAAAAACAAAAACACTGTGATTACTTGAAAATACATGAATTTCATAAAAAACTAGATGGAATTCGACTGCGCGCAGTCGAAAGTGATGCCTCCGTTATAGAGCAATTTTACAAACCAAAACAGAAAAAAAAAATTGAATTCACGTTCAATGGTAATCCATTGACAGGTTCTCAGAATATTGTGATTACAAGCAATTTCTCATATACATATATGACCCTTTGATCTTTGACCTCATGACCATAAAATCTACTCAGTTCATTGGCTCTGCAAGATGTTCTGAGTTAAATAGTAATCCATCTGTCAGTTCTAATGAGAATGCATTCACAAGCTATTTTTGCATACATAATGGGCCCATGACCTTTGACCTTTGACCTTATGAACCAAGAATCTACTCAGTTCATTGGCTCTGCAAGTAACAAACATGACCTAATTTTGGCATGAATCCATCAATCGGTTCTTGAGATAACGCGATCACAAGCTGTTTTTGCATTCATAATGTGCGCTGTGGCCTTTGACCTTTGACCTACGTGCTCCAAAATCTAATCAGATTGTCTTCCTATGGTGATACACACTATCATTAAGTTTGAAGTTTTTACATCTCCAGTGGTTCTTGAGATATCATGATAACAATCTCAATGTATGGAATTTCATAAGTTGACCTCTGTGACCCTTGACCTTTGACCTACGTGCTCCAAAATCTAATCAGATTGTTTTCCTATAGTGATACACACTATCACTAAGTTTGAAGTTTAAATCTCCAGTGGTTCTTGAGATATCATGATAACAATCTCAATGTATGGAATTTCATAAGTTGACCTCTGTGACCCTTGACCTTTGACATACGTGCTCCAAAATCTAATCAGATCGTCTTCCTATGGTGATACATACTATCCTTAAGTTTGAAGTTTAAATCTCAAATGGTTCTTGAGATATCGCGCTAACAAACTCAATACAAGGAATTTCATAAGTTGACCTCTGTGACCTGTGACCTTTGACCTACGTACTCCAAAATCTAATCAGATCGTCTTCCTATGGTGATAAATACTATTCCCGAGTCTTAAGTTTAAATCTTAAATGGTTCTTGAGATATTGTGATAACGGTCAAACGGGACGGACGTACGGACGGACGGACGGACGGACGGACGGACGGACGGACGGTACTACTCACGACAGTATGCTTGTGAGATTTTTGTCTTGTGTGTCTGAAAAAAAGGGGTATCTTGTGTGTCTTTTCATTTTTTCCTTCTAAAGACTACTTGTGTGTCTTAATTCCCAACTTCTTGTGTGTTTGTCTAAAATTAAATGAAAATGCATCTAGTGTGTTTTTTAATACAATATGTGTTGAGACTGGTTTTTAAAATTAAAATTAAGGCTTGTATGCCCAAAAGACATTATTGTCTACCTCTATCCAAGTCAGGAAAATTAAGGCTTGTGTCCCGCAAAAACACATCATTTACCCGCCTAAGTCGTGAAAATTGAGGCTTGTGTGGCAGAAAAGACGATCAGCTACCCTGTCCAAGACAAGAAAATTAAGGCTTGTGTGCCTAAAAAACTTGATGTCCAAAAGGTATACAACTATTTATTTGTGACTTTTGAATGACCAAAAAATTGATTTATCTTTTTTCCTCATTGAATAGAAACATCACACACATATAATACAGGTAATGCAATAATATTCCAATGCTGTGGAGGAACCAATGAAAAGCCAAGGAGCTTGTCATGGCAGAAAGATTATTTACCCCTGTCCAAGTCAAGAAAATTAAGGCTTGTGTGGCAGAAAAAAAACATTACATGTATTATATACCTCTGTCCAAGTCATGAAAATTAAGGCTTGTGTGGCAGAAAGACATTACATGTATTATATACCCCTGTCCAAGTCAAGAAAATTAAGGCTTGTGTGGCAGTAAGACATTATTGTCTACCCCTGTCCAAGTCAAGAAAATTAAGGCTTGTGTGGCAGAAAAACATTACATGTATTATATACCTCTGTCCAAGTCATGAAAATTAAGGCTTGTGTGGCAGTAAGACATTATTGTCTACCCCTGTCCAAGTCAAGAAAAGTAAGGCTTGTGTGGCAGAAAAACATTACATGTATTATATACCTCTGTCCAAGTCATGAAAATTAAGACTTGTGTGGCAGTAAGACATTACATGTATTATATACCCCTGTCCAAGTCAAGAAAATTAAGGCTTGTGGCAGAAAGACATTACATGTATTATATACCCCTGTCCAAGTCATGGATATTAAGGCTTGTGTGGCAGTAAGACATTACATGTATTATATACCCCTGTCCAAGTCAAGAAAATTAAGGCTTGTGTGGCAGAAAAACATTACATGTATTATATACCTCTGTCCAAGTCATGAAAATTAAGGCTTGTGTGGCAGTAAGACATTATTGTCTACCCCTGTCCAAGTCAAGAAAATTAGGGCTTGTGTGGCAGAAAGACATTACATGTATTATATACCTCTGTCCAAGTCATGGATATTAAGGCTTGTGTGGCAGTAAGACATTATTGTCTACCCCTGTCCAAGTCAAGAAAACGAGGGCTTGTATGGCAGAAAGACATTACATGTATTATATACCTCTGTCCAAGTAATGAAAATTAAGGCTTGTGTGGCAGAAAGACATTACATGTATTATATACCTCTGTCCAAGTCAAGAAAATTAAGGCTTCTGTGGAAAAAAAAAAAAAATTACATGTCTGCATTTAAAGTGAATTTTGATGTGGAATTGGGAAATCTTAATGAATTTTGATATTTGGAATCTCAAAGTTTGTGAATTTCAAAGTTTAAATTCATCCAATGTACAGAAAGCCAGTACAGAAAGCCAGTTCTGTGGCATAAAAAAAACATTACATGTATTATATACCTCTGTCCAAGTTATGAAAATTAAGGCTTGTGTGGCAGAAAGACATAACATGTATTATATACCCCTGTCCAAGTCAAGAAAATTAAGGCTTGTGTGGCAGAAAAACATTACATGTATTATATACCCCTGTCCAAGTCAAGAAAATTAAGGCTTGTGTGGCAGAAAGACATTACATGTATTATATACCTCTGTCCAAGTCATGAAAATTAAGGCTTGTGTGGCAGTAAGACATTATTGTCTACCCCTGTCCAAGTCAAGAAAATGAGGGCTTGTGTGGCAGAAAGACATTACATGTATTATATACCTCTGTCCAAGTCATGAAAATTAAGGCTTGTGTGGCAGTAAGACATTATTGTCTACCCCTGTCCAAGTCAAGAAAATGAGGGCTTGTGTGGCAGAAAGACATTACATGTATTATATACCTCTGTCCAAGTCATGAAAATTAAGGCTTGTGTGGCAGAAAAACATTACAGCACTGGCTTTCTGTACATTGGATGAATTTAAACTTTGAAATTCACAAACTTTGAGATTCCAAATATCAAAATTCATTAAGATTTCCCAATTCCACATCAAAATTCACTTTAAATGCAGATATCCATTAAAATTCTCAAAATCACTTTGCCGATGGATTTTCAAAGAGGAGTATTGACAAAAAGAATATGTCACGTAACTATGAAGAATTTTTATTTCTTCAGAGGCAAAGTTGAGTATTTCATTATTTGCTAATGGAATACGTTTTACACATATCTGGAACTTTAAAGGTACTATGTCCATTTGCAGGCCCCAAAAATGAAAAGGTTAAATTCCAACAGCATTTGAAAGACAATATTAATTTAGAACTTTCCGAAAAAAAAAGGGAGCTTGAAAATGTCTTTAAGTGGGAAAATAACGACTATTAGTAGTTTAATCAACTAAAAGATGAAGTTGAGTTCTGGTTTTGCGATTGCATTGTGAAAGAAACGGTGTGGAATCGACCAGAAAAGGTTGATCATCTAGCATATAAGAATTTGTGTGTATTGCAAGGTTCTGGAATCATCAAAATGATAAGAAATTTGGCCAAGTCTTGGTAAAGTTACAAACACTGTACACAGAAAGATGTATATGGGACTACACAACCACGTGGCGTAAAAAGGCTATTCCCCCGAGTTTTACGATGTTACATGACATATTTAGAATATGAAGGCATTTGAAGAGCCATGCTTTTTAAGGGAACATGTCTTATCTGATGTTCTTCCACACTTGCATAATAGGAATGATAACGCTCACAAATTATTTTTCACCTCTTCCCAGAACTCAACCTTCTCTTTAAGAGCTATAGAGCCAGTAATTAATAATCTGATTTCAGACCACTGTACTGCAGGGTCAATGTCGCTATTCATAAGGACCGCTATTCATAAGGTCCGCTTTTCATAATTGGAGAAAAGGGTCATTATTCATAAGGGTCATTATTCATAAGGACCGCTATTCATAATGAAAGAAGAGGGTCGGTATTCATAATATTAGAAGAGGGTCGCTATTCATAATACAAAATCGGGTTCGTTATTCATGAGGGTCCCTATTCATAATATTACAAAAGGGTCGGTATTCATAACACAGAAAGAGGGTCGCTATTTATAATACGAAATGAGGGTCGCTATTC